GCTCCATCCCAGGGTGATGCCCAGCCCAGGCCTGGCCACCCTCTGCCTCCCTGCCCTTGGCTGCAGTTCAGTGGCAGGAGAATTCCTGTTTGTCATTGTAAAACACTGTGGGATGAATGGTAGCCCATAAATGTGAGGTTGTGATGAGGCTTTAGGCTGTGCTGGAATAAGGAAGAAGATTTAAATGGGCTTTTTCTCCCAGTAAATCTTATTTAATATGGAGGGGTGTCAATTTGTCACTTGCTCTGACCCTCCAGCTGATTTTGTGCACTGCAGGGAGGAAAATGGGTGGATATCAATAACAGAGTGATCACACAGCTCCCTGTGACTCAAACACCCAACTAAATTTAGTGATCATCAGTGCCTTTTGGAATTTTTATCCAAACAAGTCTGTGACCCTGAACCTACAAGTCTGTGTTGCACAAGATGTTCAAAACTGCTGGGCTGAGGTCTGGGGTGCCAGGAGAGGCAGCCCATGGGCAGAGGGATGGGCTCCAGCAGAGCTCTCAGTGCCAGCACACTCCAGAGTCTTGCAGATCTGACTCGGAGTCTAAAATTTGGGACCTTTTGCCTGGTGTTGAGTCCCTCCTAAATGAACCCTCATCTGATTAGAGGCACTTTAATTGCTCTGTGCCTTGGGTGCCTCGATGAGCAGAAGGAAAAGCCTTAGGATGCAGATCTTGTTTTTCAGCTTTGTGATTCAGGGGCTGCACAGCAAAGATCACATCCAATTTCCACGGGAAATCCTCGCCAAGAAAAGGAACAACACCTGCCCAGCCCCTCCTGCCCCACAGATCTGCCAGGGAATCCTGCCTGAATCCACCCTGGATCTCTCCATTGCCTGTCCTGGTGGGTTTTTATAGCAGAGGTTTGCAGCCAAGTGATCCACAGCACCAACAACCTCTGATGTGTCAAAAAGCAGAGAGAAAACAAAGCAGAGACCTGAGCTGCTGGCTCCAAACACAGCTTTGGGCAGGGGGTGTTTCTAGAAATATTGATCTGGTTTTGTGCCAGATTTTTTTTTTTTGGGGGGGGGTTAAATCTGTCTGTAACTGTGGTGATCCTTGGAAACTCAACCCCCAAACTTTGGGGCTCTGTGAATGAGCTGCTGTGGCTTTAACACAAACTGCTCAGTCAGTTTTTTACTTTAATTTCAGACAGAAAGGAGCAGCCCTGGAGATGATCGATTGCCTTGGTGACACTCATGACAGCTGGGGCAATAGGGGATGTTTGCACACTTTGTATAGAATACCTGCAGCTCCTTTATTGCCAGCAAGAAAGGGCTGAGCTCCTTTAAAAGCTCCTCACTCTTAATTTCCAGCTGATGAGGTGAACTGCTTTAATTACACGGCGAGTTCATGGTAGAACTTGCAGTTCTGTGTGTGCAGATGGGGAGCAAAACCAGAATTATGGATTTGATGGGGAGGATTTCATCCTCTGCTCTCCTGGGGGAGAGGAGCTCTGGCCCTGCTGAGTCACAGGGGTGAAGGGTACAAAGTGCTGGAGTGGCAACAATTAGGCTTGAACTCTGCTGGTGCTTATGCAAAAACAATCAGATTTATTTTTAGCTCATGAATTCTGCTAGGAAAAAAAAAAAAATTTGAGGTGTCACCTTGATGCTGTAATGATCACAGAAACCTGGAAAAAAATTTGGATATTGAGTTATAGAAGGGTTAACTGAGGCTGAGAAACTGTCAGGGTTGTCAGCCCCAAGTGATTTTATTTTTGGGTTGTGTAAAACAAATTCTTAATACTAGAACCATAATTATTCTACTCTTTTAATGCAAGGTGCTATTGCATTGTTTTGATTATCTGATATCATTACACATCCATATTTATGATAACTCTGGAGTCCAAAGCTTTTATCTCCTGGGCAGACACAAGACAGGAATTCAAAACAAGACACACACACACACAAATATACACCAATGTACATTTCAACAGTGCAGAAGAGGTAGTACCATTAATTAAGAAATACATAATGAGCAGTAAAAATACTGAGACAATTCAGATCTGTCTCCATTGCACCCCTTTCAAGCATCACAAGAGTGATTTGTTCAGCATCAATCCAAATTTCAAAGTGTTCTCTGACATGATTTTACCTGGATTTTTTTTATTGGTGGCCTTCAAGTGAGTAGTTGAAAGGGACAGTATTTAGTTCAGAAATGAAACATCATTTATTAACAACTCAGAAAATGGGCTTTGAATTCATTACCTACAGGAACCAGGTTGTCTGTGCACCTCAGGTTGGAAAATTAGGCATGAACACCAAATATTTAATCTCATCTCTCTTTTTTTTTTTTTGTCCTTTCTCTAAAAAGACACAATTTCATAACTGAGTTTTGTTTTGGAGAGTGGAAAAGAGATATATGTTATATATATATATATGAAAGTGGATGGGTTTTATTGCTGCCCTGAAGAAAATCTCCAGTGTAGCCTCAAAGTTCTACCAAGAAACTGCAGAATTTAGGTTTTATCAGGGAGAAAAAACATGAACTCGATTCTCTGTGGAGACAGAATCCTGAAAGTATTGAAAAATAAAGATGGAAAAAGCTCCAAGAAGCTTCCCAGGGCACATTCAGGAGCATCCTGGGGTGCCTCAGGTGCAGAAAATCTGCAAAGAGCAGGAGATCCCAGAGCTGAGCTCTTCCACAACTCCCCCTGATTATTCCTGAAGGTTTTTTCTAAACTGAAAGCAGCTGAGAGGTTTTGCTCTGTGAAAAGTGCTTTAGGGAAAGAGAAAAGAAGGATTATCAGCTGTGGAGGGTTAAGAATAAAAAGCAAAATAAAGCTGAGTAAATGCACTTTGTGTTTGCATTTCCAAGGTGTTTCTGCTCAGGGGATGCACACCAGGCAGATTCAGCAGTCCAGGGAAGGTTACAGGGAAAAAGCAAGAAGAATTCCCTTTTTCTGGATTTTTTTTTTCCCCACAGATTTCCTGGTTTGTTTTTTTTTTCCTGTTGTTTAAGCTCTGATGATGATGATGATGAAATTAAAGAAATCCAGACCAAACAGCCAGGCCACAAGTGGAGGGAAGCTCCTGCAGGTGCCATTTATCTGATGTACTCCTCCTCAGAGGTGCAGGATGTGTCTTCTGCTGTGCTCTCCTCCAGATCTGGCAAATTGCCCCACAGCAACACATTCACACCTGGTGAGAAGGAGACAAAGGAAAAAAAAAAAAAAAAAAAAGATATTTTTGGATTGTAACCTTATTTTTAAGTTGCACAACTGTCTGTTTTGAGAGAAAATAATCCCTGCAAAATCCAGGAAGTCACATTCACGATGAATAAATCTATTTTCTACCTTCCTTCAACGTGATCTTGGGAGTGTTGCTGTTTATTTTTTATCAGCTCAATTCAGAGCATAAATCCCTGCCCACAGGAATATTTATATAACCAATTCAGGCACTTATTGATAACCCCCTCCTGAATGATTTGTTTGTGAACAGCATTGATCCGAGGCACAGGTGACACTGCAGGCTTTGGGCTGGGAGTTTCCCTGGTGATTTATCAGGGGAAAAATGCATTCCTGAGGATCCAACCCTGCCAGACACTTGGCATCTCTCCCACCAGGATGCAGGAGCTGCAATTCCAGCTCAGGAGGTCTCAGGGAGGGTCAAAGTGACAACGTGACTCACCCCCCCAAAAAAAAAAACCCCAAAAACAAACAAAAAATCCCCAAAAAACCGAAATAAAACAACAACAACAACAACAACAAAAAACAACAAAAAAACCCACCAAAAAAAACCTCAAAAAAACCCAAACAAAACAAAAACAAACAAACAAAAAAACCCCCAAAAACAAACCAAAAAGAGATGCCCCTGGACAGCTGCCAGCCCATACATCCATCCCCACTATAAATAAACCTGGGTTTATACCAGTGGTGGCCTGTTAGAGACAGTCAGTCAGTCAGGAGTCTCTCTGGATTCTTCAGAGAGAAATCAGAGTGCAGGAATTAAATTAAAGCCTTGGGATGGATTGAGGTGTTTTAAGCCACTCACACATAAAGCAGAAGTGAAAGTTTAGGTTTTAGTGTAAGTAAATAAGTAAAATGGGTTTTTAGGGCTTTTAGTAAGTAAAAGGCCTTAGATACCAGTGTAGAAGTTTAAATTCCAGTGAAGGTTGAAAAACATAGATATTAGAACTTCTGTGGAGGCTTTAGAAACATAGTTTTAGACACAATAAAGTTATAGTTAAAAATATTGATTCTATTTTTCAGATAGAATAAGATAGACCATATGCATAGTTTATACATAGCCTGGTGTGCTAAGAAACTAAAATTCTATTAGGTTAAGAAGTGGTGATTTGAGTTTGTGTCAGCTTGTTGGAAAGTTTTTATATAAAAAAGTGTATTAGGGAGAGCTGGTACATTTTGCCATTGCCTTTTGCTTTTGTCTTTGAGACTGATGTGCTTCTGCAATAAACAACTTTATAGCAGCTATGAACTGCTTGGCTCATGAAAAAAGTGTGGGTGCCTAAGAGCACCCAGAGGTTCCAACCTCACAATTGGTGCCCTGTGTCTAATGCTGTGCTTTAATTCACTTTAATGTGCTTTAATTCGCTGCAGAAAATCCTGACTTATGTCCACCGAGGGGGAGGTTAAGAGCAATTTACACCAAAATTCTCATTCACAGCTGCCTCTGGTTTTCCACATCAGCAACACTTTCCCCTGTGCCTCCCTCCACATGCCCTGGCAATCTGGGGATGCCTCCCCAGGATGGGGGGGAATCAGGATTTTAGGGAATGGGGAGGAAACAAAGGTGTCCCTCACCAGAAGGGTCGAGCCTGTTGATGCCAAACACTGCCTGGCTGTGGAACATCCAGAGGTGGCCGTTGTTGCAGGACAGCAGGCAGGGCTTGCAGGGACAAATCACGTGGTAGCCAACAACATTCCCACTGGAAAAGAGGGAAAAGGTGGATCTTGGTGGCTTTTTCTAGCTCCAATTAAATAGCCCCAGTGCCATTATGTAATGCTCGTGTTTTGATAGACTTAAGGGAACGGGGTTAAACAAGTATCTGAAATATTTAGGGAACATCTGTTGGGAGTTACAGAATATCTCAGTTTTAGATCTTTGGCACGCAGAGAAGCGTTTAGTAACCTAAATTGTGTAACCCGGATTAGTTTACATACCAACAAATGCTGGTGGATTTCTTTATTTGTTTTCCTTTGGAAGGCCAGTGATTCCAACCAGCAGAGAAATTCCTCACACCCAAAATCCACCTGTACCACAAGCACCGTGCACAGGAGGGTGCCAGCAGCAGGAGTGGTGAAACTGAGAATTATGGAATGGTTTGGGTCGGAAAGGAGCTTAAATCTCATCCAGTTCCACTCCCTGCCACAGGCAGGGACATCTTCCACTGCCCCAGGGTGCTCCAACCTGGCCTTGGACACTTCAGGGATGGGGATGGGGCAGCCACAGCAGCTCTGGGCCAGGTTATTGACCCTTATCCATCTCCTGGATGGAAACCATAATAGCCATTGATCCTTTTTCATGTGCTCTGATGAGATATTTCTGTCTAAAAACCAAAATATTGTGTCCCTATCACAATTCCCCCCCATCGTTCAAATCTGAGAAGGTGAAAATCTTGATTAGGGAGCTGGAAGAATTCTCTCAGATAACTGTGAGCTATTTGTGAGCTGTTGTTTTCACCCTTAAATATCAGGCATTAAGAAGAGGGATAAAAGAACTCCAAGAACTTTAACGACGGCGCGTTCCATCTGCTCCCAACAACCCGATCTGCCAAGAGGATGTTCTATTAATTAAAATATGAGTAACTGCCTCTTGCTGGGGCCCTGTTCACAGAGATATCTCAGTGTTGAGGCACACATTTCGTGGGGCAGGTGGCACAGAAGCTTTCAGGAGGCTCAGCCTCCTGACAATGCTGTCACATTTCCATTGGGGACTCGCACAGAAATACCCTGGCAGCCTTGCCCAAGGAGCAGCGGGCTGAGTTTCTCCCCAGCAGCGTTAAATTTGCAATTTGCTCGTCCATGCCCTAAGTCCTGCACTGCAGGAGGTGACAGCGAGGAGGGGACACAGGGCTGGGACACTCAGTGCTGTGTGCTCACCACTTCAAACAGGCGATGTTCTTCAGTTTGCATTTGCAGATTTCAGTGAAGTAGCAGTTTCCGATGAAATCGACAGTTCTGGAGGAATAAAATGGACAGAAGTTTGAGAGCTGTGGTGGTCACAGCGTTACAATAACATCGGGCTGAAATGAACAACCAAGTGATGCTGCCATCGGTCCTGGGTGCTTTAAACCTCCCCATGGTTTCATTTTCCTTTTGACTCTCAGCCTTACTCATACAGAAACTTTAACAAGACACGTGACATGGCACGAGTACCAAAAATCCTCCTAAAATAGCCCAAAAAAGCAGAGCCTGCCTTGGTCCTCGGAGGCTCTCGGGCTCAGTGTGGCACTGTCAGAACCTTGCTTAGGGACATCGCCCCGGCTGCTGCCAAACCCAGCTCAGAAACAGAGCAATACCTCAGAGGCTGGGCTGTTCAAACCCAAACCTTTGATTCCTTATCTCCTCCCCATCCCATACTTTCTGATTACCATGTCATTTCACAACCTGATTTCCTTACTATTCAAATCTCGCTATGGGAAAGCAGCACCGAGCCGAGCTGGGGGAGAGTGCTGGCAGCGGTGACAGATCAGGTTTGTTCTGTTTTTATTTCAAACTTTAATCTTCGCTTCGGAGAGGAGCGGGAGGAGCTTCCCGTGGCTGCCGAGCCTGTGTCATCCCCATGGATGGGTTAAAGCGGAGTTTGGATTTGCCCCGCACGGGACATCCTCGATTTTTGCTGTCCTGCCGTGGATTCCGCGGGGTTGGGGATGCAGGGATGGGCTGAACCGTGTTCTGGGGGCTGTTCTCCGGTGACACCGGCTTTTGGGGTGATGCTGAGAACCCTCCAGCCGTGTCCCCCGGGGCTGACAGGACCCCATCCCCCGGTGGGATCCACCCTTTTCCCCCTTCCCGGCGCTTACCCCGAGGGTGGCATGTCGGTGGAGTACAGGTGGGTGTCGGTGTCCGCCAGCAGCACCGCCTGCATGCCCCGGGAGCTCAGCACCTGCCGGCAGAACCGGCAGCACAGCACGCTCACGCACCGGTCCTCGAAGGTGCAGCCTTCGGAGGACATGGCGGGTGCGACCCCGGTCCCGATCCTGATCCCGGTCCCGATCCTGATCCCGGTCCCAATCCCGGTCCGGGTCCGGTTCGGTGCCAACGGCCACGCTCCCACCTGTCAGTTTGAATTCCCGGCCGCGCCCTCCCATTGGGCGCCTCAAGCCACGCCCACTCCCCCATTGAAAAATCCAGTGGTACCACCCCTCCAGCCTGGCTATTGGTGGAAAGGAGCGCCTGCCTCGCTTCTATTGGTCAGACCTGCTGTCAATCACATTCCCGTCCCACCCCCCGCGCCGCGCTCCACCGGCGGGGCGGCGCCACGAGCGCCAAGCGGCGGGAAGAGGGGGCGGGCTCATCTTGGAGACGGTGCTTTCTGATTGGTTTTCACGCCCGTCGCTCATGCCCAGCTCTCTGCTCCCATTGGCCGAGGCGCTGGGCGGGGTGGGACGGCGGCGGGCCGGTGCGGGAGACCGGGCGGCGGGCGCCAGCGGCCGGAGGACGCCCGGCTGCGGGAGGCGGCTCCGCAGCGCCCAGGTAATCGCTCCGCCCGGCTGCCCGACCCCCGGCCCTCCCGTGCCACCCCCCGGCGGACCGCGGGCAGCTCCCCGCCGCTGGCCCCGCCGCCTCCCCGGCGCCCCAAGCCGCGTTCCCCCAGCCCCGGGACCCCCCCACGCTTCCTCTCCCCGCCGCTCGCATTGTTCTTCCCGGGCGGGATGCGGATGCGGCGGGTGCCGTGTTTATTTATTTCTTCCTCCCATACGCGCATCTTCCGCGGGGGAATGCGGCCGCGCGCCCTCCTTCCTTCCCCCTCTCCCCCCCAAA